TGGCCCAGGCTGGAAATAAACGCGTAGGAGGAAGCTGGTGCCTTCTGCCGCGCGCAGGGTGCCCCCCTCAAGGGACACGCGGCCTCCAGCAGTGTCTTCCGGCCTCAGACCCAGCAGCCAGGCAGAGGCAGCCGGCGGCTGCGGAGACAGAGAAAAGAAAAGCAGGAGCACGGCGCCCCGGCTGCAGCAGTCCCTCAGCCTGACACCCACCGCCGCCGCCGCCATCCTGCACCCAGCGCGGCTGCACGTGATACTGCAGAGAGCTGAGCGAGAGCAAGAGGAGGAGCTGGAGCAGGAAACACGGCCGCCGGCAGCTCGCCACGTGTGCTTCCCCAGCGCGCGTGGGCTTTAGGCTGAGGGACGCTCAGAACCTGCCTGGGAGGGGAGTCCCTTCCGGAGGCTGGAGAGGGCCAAGCACCACCACACGGAACAAAGCCTTCAATATATATGAACTGTAACCCAGGGAAGTCTTGGCTTGGAGCACGGCCTCCTACTCCAGCAGTAAATCCGCCCTACCTACGCAAACTCCTACCTGGCATTAATTCCCTGCTCACCCCATCACTTCCTCATTGGCCCAGGAAATTTCCCTGTGTTTCTCTTTTGCTGCTACTTGCATTCTTCATTGGCTAAGCTTGAATTTGTGAAAACTTTTTTTTTTGTTTGTTTTTTGAGGCAGGGTCTCACTATGTAGTTGAGACTGACCTGGAACTCACTATGTAGTCCAGGCTGGTCTCGAACTCACAGCGATCCTCCTGCCTCAGCCTCCCAGTGCTAGGATTATAGGCGTGCGCCACCACTGCCGGCTGAAAATTTAATATTTGGTCTCAATTTGAGGTGACATCGTATTGTAAATATTCCCAAATTGTTTAAGTCTAGTTATGTGTTAAGATCTGAAGGTCTGTCAAGAAAATTGAAAAAAAAAAGTATAATGCCACTGCTCAGTGGAGTACTATGTAGAAGGAAAAAGTCTCTAAAATAATAATAAAGATGGCAAGGTGCAGAACAAGGTGTATAATATGCTGTTTGTGTTGAGTATGAACACATTTGTAGATAATATATACATATATGTAAATATTAGATTTAAAATGTAGCTAATACATAAGAAGTATAATCACATTTACCTCCAGGGAGCAGAATTAGGCTCTGAAAGTTTGGCTGATAGAGGCTTTTAAGAAATTATAGAGTAACAGGAATTTGAAAAAATTATACAGACTTCCCTCTATCCTTCGCTCAGTTTCTCTGAATGGTTATGTCTTAAGTTTGGTGTAGCACAATATCAAAAGCAATATCAAATAGGCATTGGTGTAACTTGTGTATAGATCTACATTATGTTATCACATAGAAATTTATGGAACCACCAATGCAATCAAAATATAGATCTATTACCACAGAGATCTTATACAATTGTGTGTGTGTATATATATATATATATATATATATATATACACACACACACACACACACACACACACACATTGGCACATATGAACACGTGGGCCTGTTACTTAATTTTTGTATATTTATTTTTAAAATGTATATAATATAATTCACTTTTTGGTATATTCTGTGAGTTTTGATGAATGTATATTCATGTAACCACACAAAAAAATAGTTCATTTGGAATAATAGCTGTAGTTTAGCTGGTAATGTGCTTCACCAGCATGTGGGAGGCCCTGGGTTCCACTTCTAGTACACCCCTAGTACAGTTCCACCCCTGGGTTCCACCCCTAGTAAAAAAAAAAAAAACAACAACCCAAAAAACAAAAAAGTATCATCTTTCTTCTCTTCTAGAGTTTTACTTTCCAGAATGTTGTATAAACAGAATAGTATTGTAGGTAGCCTTTTGGGGTCTTGAATCCCTTACAAAATTATCAAAATGGATTTAAGATTTATCCATATTATTGTATTTATTGATAGTTCATCCCTTTGTATAACTGAGTAGTATTCCATTAAATGGATGTGTTATAATTTGTGTAAGTAAGGAAGTTATTTCCTATTTTTGGTAATTATGAATAAAGAAGCTTTAAACATTTTGTGTGCAGGTTTTTGTGTAAACATAAATTTTCATTTCTCTTGCATGAATATATCCTAGGTCTGCTTTCTTTATATATTGAAATCACAAAATTTTTTAATGCTTTTATTTATTTTGGTGTTGGGAATTGAACCTGGGACCTTGCACATGCTAGGGACAGACTTTACCACTGAGCTATATGCCTTCCTAGTCCTTATTTGTATTTGACAAATAATTGTATATATTTATGGGGTATGCTTTAATCATTTCCTTATCACTGAGACACAATACCTGACCCCCACAACTTAAAGGAGGAGAGGTTTACTTTGGCTTACATTTTCAGTCCATAGTCGGCCAGCTCCAAGCAGAACAATCATGGCAGAGAGACCTAGCAGAGGAGAGCTGTTCATGTCAGGGCAGCAAGGAATTAGGAAAAAAAGGAGGAGTTAGAGAGGGAGATAAGTCCTTTCAGGTCAAGCCCCCAGTGACCCTCCTTTATGCAGGCCCCACCTCTTAACAGCAGACTGGCTGCAGCATGACATAATTCAGTCACCTTCCAAAAGCCCCACCTATGACTGCGTGAGTCTCTTGGGGGACATCTACATATAAACAGTAACGGTACACTGTAGAGTTTTGATGAAGGCATAGTACATTGTGAAATTATCAAGTCAGGGTAACACACCTATCACCTGGAAATTTTTTTTTGTAGTAAAAGCATTTAAAATGCTCTTTTAGCTATTTTGAAATATATGCTATATTATTAACTGTAATCACCTTGCTGTGCAGTAGAAACTTATTCCCCCTGCTAGCTTATTCCTCCCAAGGAGCTCTGACTTTGTAGCCATTGAGCAGCTTCTGTTGAGCTCCCTCTTCCCAGTCCACCAACTCACCAGTCTCTGGTAAACACCATTCTACTCTCTTCTTCCACAAGTTTGACTTCTTTACATTCCACATATAATACAGCATTTGTCTCTCGGTACCTGGCTTATTTCACTTAAGATATTGTCTTCCAGGTTTATCCTTGTTATCACAAATGACAGAATTTCCTATGAAGGCTGAATAGTATTACATTGTGTGCATGGACCACAATCCATTTGTCCATTGATAAATACAGATTGTTTCCCTATCTTGGGTATTGTAAATAGACAACAAACTTGGGAGTGCAGACATCTCTTGGGCATTCTGGTTTCAATTCTTTTCATATGTACTCAGTCGTGGGATTGCTGGATCATATAGCAATTCTATTTCTTGTTTTTTTCATACTGCTTTCCAAAACAGCTATACTAATTTACATGCATTACTTTTTTAAAATATAAAAGTAATGCTGGGCATAGTGGCACACGCCTGTAATCCCAGCACTTGGGAGGCTGAGGCAGGAGGATTGCAGAGAGTTCGAGACCAGCCTGGGCTACATAGTGAATTCCAGGTCAGTCTCAGCTACATAGTGAGACCCTGTCTCAAAAAACCATGGTGAGGGGAGGAGCGGGTGAAGGGAGGGCAGGGACAAGGGGAAAAAAATGAGAACCAAGACCTGTCATGTAAAGGTACAAGATCCCAGTAATGAATGTAACTGTATTGTATACCTAGAATGTACCAATAAACTAAATAAAAAGAAAAAAATATAAAATAATAATAACTCCACATAATACCTTGGGCATCTCTGACTAACATAAAAGATCACTGCTATGTGGTATATACTCATTTTTATGTTGTACACAAATAATTATGAAATACATACATGTAGTCTCTGTATATGTATTATATAATCAAATACATTATATACACAATTCTAGTCTGCTTCTGCACCCGAACATGTCAAGAGATTTTATAAGCATAATTTTATGATGAGAGAGAGGTGGGGAGGGGGGAGAGAGAAATTATAAAAATAATTCTCTTTCCAATTGCATTCGTTCTATTATTGACAAATCAATTAATTTTTTTGCCAAGTTCCTCATCTGTGAAATGGAAGACAGTTTTCAGGTCCCAACCCTTCATGTGTCAGTAAGGGCTAATATACCTGAGTAAAGATACTCTCCAGAGACTGAGTACTTTTCCCTTTACTGAGCTGGAAAAGTACTGGGTTTCCAGAGCCCTGCTGTAAGTGCAAGGATTCCTGGGGACAGGTTCAGCCAGTGTGATTCTCTGAAGAAAGAGCTGCCAAAAATAGCTCCCCAGAATCTGAATGTTCACTATCTTCTTAGGTTATAAAATGGGCAATTCCTCATTTCTTAGAGAAATTATTTGCTTCTAATGTCATAACCATGTTCTTTCAGAATGTACATGTTAAGTTGCTTTTCATTACTTATTTAGGTATTTCATTACTTATCTATCCATCTAATAAATATTTGTTAATTGACAAAGTTCCAGGCCCAAATATCTGACAG